TTACAACAAAAAACCAAAACATTGAAAACTTGATTATTTACAGGTTTAGCCTCCTCATTAGCTTGCACACTTATGTACAGAAAGCGTGCCATATCCTACACATTTATCCATTGTTAATTGTCTTACTATAGCTGCCTGTTGTAGTACCTCATATTTATTGTCCAGAAAGCTAAAAATAGTTAAAGGCAGTCAAAAAAAAATAAAAGGAATTAATCACATTATGATGCTTAAAATGAAGAGTTGTCCATTCCTACCAATGCATACATCTCCACATAAGTTATCACTAAACTTCATGTACGTTTCTAGAAAGCGGTTTTAAAGCTTCATCACTAGTGTATTCTGTACATCAAATTATCAGATTGTAGACTGTCGCTTTGTTCTTATCTTATTTCTTTGCATATGCCCATGTTTGCTCTCCACATTGATATACAACTACAGCCTTTTAAACCAAGTAAGATGCAAACAGGCAAGATATGCTCTAGCTGTATGTGTTTGACAAATACTCTAGTAGGCATTCTGCTGTGGACTCTCAGGGAACAGTTCACCTTCTGCTTTTATTAAAACAATGACAATCTGATTCAATGCTTCTAAAAAAAATGGTTTTCAAAGGTGTAAGAACAAACTCTGGCTTCAAGCTATCACAGTTTATTATAATTACTGGTTAGAAAGTGAATTTCACATACATTGGTATATATCCTAACCTCTGAAACTCTGCTACATAACATGAAAATCAACAATAATACTGTGAGAGTCAAAGGCTGAGGGATTCTATAACCAAAAGGGCATCTTCTCTGGTCAAGTGGAGGTAGGAGGAGTCGTGTCTTCCCCTACTCTGCCTGCTCCATACAGGAGATTAAGTAAGATAGCATAAAAACCCTCTGATGCCTTAATGTCCGATCTCAAAACTCTCTGAATCGGCACATGGTTTTCAAGGAATGTCCTTTTCTGTGCTCTTGCCCTGACAGAGCTAGAATTTAGCAGGCAGTTTCTAGGAGAAATTGTTAAGCCTACCAGCGACATTATGTCTTCACCTGCACTGTGCACTGATAGAAGTTCTCTCTTCAGAATGGTCACACCTATGCACAGTACTGGAAAATGACATACCTTCTTTGGTGGCTGTTTCCTGATTCTAGCTTCATTTCCTGATTCTTAGCCATGATACCTCACAGGTCTGCAAATGTACTTTCTAGATGTGCCAGAAAAACAAGGTTGGAGAAAAAATTCTGCTATTTAGGTTAATGAAAATATTTTGGCTTTAGTTTTCAGTAATTTGAATAGCAAGACAACCTGACAAAAATTTGTAAGTGCAGTTGTTCTATACACACATTGGCAGGTTAGCGATCATAAATGATCACATTTCTAACACTGCCTTTGGTTTCTTTCTGTCATGAAGGAAATTTCCTGAACAAACAAGTGTACTGGTGTCATTTCCCTGGCTAGTGTGCCATGCAAAGTAGATACAGCTATAGAAAGTTCTAACTCCACTAAAGCTTGGCTTTTTACCAAACTCAATAAGTGAAGTAAATGGTAAAACGCACAGGGCACCAATAAGCAGTGCTAAGTAGGAGGGACCAGCTCAGTACCTTCTGCCTTAGGAAAAATTAGTAATGGCTTATAATCATCCTTCCCTGAAATTAGAGGTAAAACTAAGAGTGTAAAATCTTATTCTGCACTTTCCCCTGCCATCCTCTCCATCCCATCTTTATTGATTAAAGAAACATTCATTGTTTTTTTTAAATTGGTTTTTTAAGCATTGGCTTCTGGGGCTTTAAGAATCAATGCACTTGCTGCAAGGACTGCTACTGAATTTATCTGTGAAATGTACCACGATTGTGTTTCCAATTTATGAAAGTTCTTCCTCTCCACTGCATAAATGAGTATGTTATCATTTGGCTGCCTTTAGATGTGCCTGCAAAGTGGAAGAGCATAAGCTGGAGAGACATGCTCAAAGAACAAGAAAGATCTATTAAATTGTACATTTAACTGTGTAGTGAACAAAACAATTTAGAAATTTCAGAAAGTTGCAAACAGAGCTCTGACTCAGATGCGTGATAACGGGGCCTGATCTGATGGACCACGATACCTCTCCCTGTGGTGCTGTCTTCTAACCCAGGCAATGAGGTAGCGCCTCCAATGATTTTCATTTATACTTACAAATGTGAGCTTGAGCTTAATCACCAGGACAGAGGCTGGTCTGAGAAGAAGGATAATTTAGAGTCCCCAGCCCAATGCTTGCGAAAGTGACTACCGATTTTGAGTTCTCTCTCTAAACCGTATAAAGAGTAAGCACGCGCCTGCAGGAGGAATTCAGGTTCACTGCATACTAAAGTTCCAGCAAAGGAAACATCCAAAATTCAGAATGATTGGAAACTCTTGGTCACTTTTACAATATTGCTAACAATGTGGTGAATAGAAATGATACAACATAGAGCTGAACTGTGGATTCCCTTGTTACAGAATGTTCTGAAAGCTGCATGTTTATGTGGAATCAATTTTTCTTTGGAAAAAAATAATAGAAGAAAAATGCAAGGGGGCTCTTAAACCAAAAAATTTTGTCTCAGGAAGTCTCTGAGCTGCAGATTACTGGAAGTTGGGAGAGTACCACAGTGTCATTATGTTTGGCTCATTCTCATTGTCTTCCCTAGGCATCTGTTGCTGGACACCATTGGAGACAGGATGCACTAGACTGATTTTTGGTCTGATTTAGTGCAGCTGCTGCTGCATTCTTGCATTATGTTAACAATACATGTAGACAGAGATCAGTCCTAATTTATTTCACTTACCTATGATTTAATAGTGATGGTAACACAAGTCCTTAAAATAGACATGAATATATAAAGAGCATTTATTTTATATTCTGCTCATGTTTTATATGAACATGGATCTTTCAGCTCTGTCTCGGTAATCACAAGAAATCAGAGCTGTTTTGTGGATGATAGAAGTGAGCAACTGAGTTGATGAATTGTCAGAGCCAAACATAATACAGGATAGAGTTGAATGAACCTTCAAAAACAGCTCAGTTATGGAGCTTACAATCCAGAGTTAGTGAAGGTAATGGTGAAGGAAAGTTGGACCCTATCCAGTGCTACTTCACTTTTCAAAATGATTGAAATCTGAGAAAAAGAGTAGCAGGAGAAGAAACCTCAGAAATCCATTTATAGGGAGAGTATTCCTCTCCTTCAACCCACTCTCTCAATTTGCATATACACGTGTCTCAGCAGATACATCATCTCTGAAACGAGACATCTTTAAGGAAATGTAATCCCTCTGTTTCTGAAGGTTAGCTTCCCAGTTGTTCATGCACCTACAAAATATTGTGGATATGTGAAGGACAGAATTTTTTTTTTTCTTAAAGAGGATTTGTACTGTGATCCAGCACTTCTCTATGTAGTGTTAACACGAAGCAAAAAAACCCCAGATTGATACTATCTTTTGTGAGAAAGAAACTAAAGGGACAAACCAGCTAAGATCCTGATCAGAAGTACTTGTTCTTTGGCACCACTGCAGGTGCCAGCCACTCCCAACGGTGGCACCAGGAGAGACAAAGTGATGACATCTTCCCACCTTTTCATGCCAGCAATCTTTGTGTTAGCCAGAATCTACAGTGTCTACACTGCATCCACTACACACTGAGAAGCTCTGAGATAGGCTGAGTCATATTAAATATCCCGGGAAGCACCTGACAGGACTGATATTCTGCACCACACCCCGATTCAAATCTGCATCTTCAAAGAACAATCAAGCTGTTCATTTGCACAAATGCCACCCATGCACAGAAACAAAATTTGACAGAAGGTCTGATCTGAAAGCCTGGCATGCTCTGAAAAAACATCTCAAAATCTCGTTACTCTGGGGTGTGGAAGACAACACACTGTCTATATACTCCTTTGTACATGGTGCTTTTATAAACTAGAAATGGATTCTAGTAATTTCATAGTGGCAAATAATGATAATATGCTCCAGTACCTGATCTTTCTGGATCTTTGCTTCCATCATTCTCACTAAGCGTCAAAAAAGACATGTATGCCAACGTGTGAAACTGCTAATAGTTCAGATATAAACCTGAGACACAAGTATTCTTAGAAAATCACATCCAGAGGGAAATAACAGTCAATACTCTGTTTTATATTATTAACTGGCCTTTAATAATGTGGAGGTGAATGTATATATTCTTTTCTTAAGTAAAGCTTTAGGTGAGGTATTTTTTTCTAAAGATACAACATGGAACTGAGATTACAAAGGTGGTGCAGCTTGTGCTTACCCAGACAAGCAAGGGCTTGATAAACCATTTCCTCAACCATTTCATCCACGCGTTTAATGTTTTCACAGGTAGATCACTTAACTCAAAATACCCCCCAAGCTTTTGGAGGAAATGTAATTGCTGACACAGATACCATCCCCTGACATCTGGTATTACATCATAGGTAAGATTATCTCCAACATCAAGAAAGCCTTCCAACAACCAACCAGCTCCCAGTGTAAGAAGTGGGGGTGGAACTTAAGGCATCACAGTAGAATTTATTCAAAGTGTGGGGAACTGACTTCAAAGTTTCATCCTATCTACTTCAGAAAGATGGGCTACAGGAGGGACTGTACATGGTAACATAATCTGGAAGCATATTTCAGCCCTCCTTATCTCCCCTTAGTCACTTCATGTCTGTACAGTAGTTTGAAGATATGGAGTGCTATGTAAGTGCTAAGTATTTGACTGATCACCTGTCACCAGAAACTGACTGAATCTGCTATAGAGAGTGAAATACTCTTTTCATTATCCTGAGAAATAGAAAACCTTCTCAGCCACGAAGGCAGGCATGGCACATTCAACTCAAGGTCGTCACAAGAGTCACAACTATATCTTCACTTTGACACAGAGACAGAACTGAAAGCACAGTCAGTGAACCAAAGCATGATACTGTGCTGAGCAAATTGAAGTGCTGAATTAATCAGCACATGATTATTCTGTTTATTGTTATTTTCCTACTTGGTTAATTTTCCCTTACCTGAAAGTCAGAAGCCCAAGTGCCTCCAGAGGGTTAGAAAATCTCCATCTCCTCAACACGGCATACATTTCTGATATAGTCATCCGATCCCAACCGGGTGCACTGCCCAGTACCAGAGGAAGGGAACAATTTTGATTATTGCAGAAGTAACGATAAAACCATAAGATCCTTCTCTGTTGCTCTGAGAGTCTGGAAGAGAAGATTAGAAATTCAGTTTGAAATTAAAACCACCTGGAGCTTTGTGTAGCAACAAACTTTATTGTACAGAGGGGCCAAGTCATACAGTACACTGCTTTTCAGCTAAGTACGTGTTTTCCTTGGGGTAGGATATCATTTTCTGCAGACCAGCTTTTATAAGAAAAGTGATACTTATACTCTGGATCTGTCAGCCTTGGGTCATGTAAAAATGAAGTGTCAAAACACACACATATATGGTTATTTCACTTCTCAAGCACTCTCATTTTTCTTCTCCATTGCCTCTGGTTTTGGTGTTGTTTGTTTGTTTGTTTGCTTTTACTGGGATTTTCTGACAAAGAAGGTGCAGTTATCACTGGATAAATTATTGTTACATCCATCTGCTACACATCATCCCTAACTAACAACTCTAACAACCAGACACACAACACTACTAGCCATAGCTTTCATTCCTGCCCTTGCTTTGACTGTTTCATGCAGGTGTGTCTATGTGTTCATGCACACACCCAAGAACATGAGCACGTGTGTGCACACACACGCATGGTGTCATTATCCCTAGCATTGGTATGAGTTTGGAAAAGGGAATGAAAGCTCCCAGCAACTTCTATGTCTGTTCACAAGGCCTAGCAGGCTGTGCTTCACTGTACTCGCATACAAAAAAGGACACAATACCAAATTCCTTATAGAGATATTAGTTATCTAAATGACATATTGATGAAATGGTCAGTCATCACACCATATTTCACCACAGTGAGCAATGCCCATAATAATTTTTGGTATATATCCTCTGATTTGTCAACAATTCAGGTGTCCTTTCCTCATGCATATTAAATCCTAGGTTTTGACACCACCATAAAATGGAAAAAGAAATTCCCCATGAGAGACAAGCTCAGACTACCTCCTTAATTTGATATCAGAGCCTTCAAAAGCAAGCTTTGAGAGTGCAAACTGATCTCCAGTTCACAGAAATCATTACTGGAACCAAGAGGAACATAGGTTTTCTTGCTCATCCTTGGCCAGACTGGTGATCCATCTACTTAATGGCATACCATAACAGTGACTTTAAGCGGACCTAAATATTTCAGAGCAAGGTGTGAGAAACATTGCAAAGGCTGTAAGTAAATGGCTTGTTTCCAGTCAAGCGTTTCATTACCCAGATGTGTAAGCAGGGCTCAAAATCCAAGTGTTCACATTCCTTCCAAGGTCTTCTTCCTTCTATTTGCAATGTTTTGGGATATTCTTAGCCAAAAAACTATCTTAGCCCTGCTCTAACTGTGAAGACTGTGGCTTTCACAACTCATAGGAATGAGTTCCTTTGGCTCTGTATGCACCGGAGAACTTTTTTTTTTTACAGTTTTGAATTGCCAAGCATTTAGGAACAGAGTGGCGGTACAGAGATGGGCATGTTTTTTACTGACACAAGAGTGAATGTTTATTTATTCCCCTTAGGGGAATAAGCTCATAAATGTATGTAGAAGATGAACCTAACTATGACACAAATTCTGTCATGACTCCTAGTCATAATTTCAAGAAAAGTATCATTTTGGTAACCATTTCAAGAAACAGCTTCAGAATTCATGGCATGTCTACTGTGACAATAGCTAGATGCTTTTGTGTTTGTTTGAAGAAGTCATACACAGAAAAAGAGATAAAAGTAGGCCTAAGACTTTATTGCCTGTCTGGTTTTCTTATGCATTCGGATAGTATTCTGCAGGACAGTTCAGCTAAAGGACCCCTTTTATACTTTGACTTTAAACAGGGATTTAAGCTTTCAGACAGCATCCTCCAAACTAGACAGTCTGTTGTTCAGATTAAAGCAGCTAAAGCCTCTACTGAGCTTACAAAGGGAGATAAGAAATCAATCCTTGTATCAGGTTTTCTAAATAACAGATTTCTCCCTCTGACTTCACTCCAGAGGCCATTTTCTCTTTCCATGTTTTAAAGATGAGAGATGAAATTAAAGGTTGGGTAGGGTGGGGTGTTTTTAGGTTTTCACTTTAAATTTCTTAGTTGCAACAAAAGTTTACATATTCATGTAACAGGATACTTAAGATGGATGATAAAAGTATTTTGCATACATACAGCATCTGAAGATTGTTATGCTAATAAGGACATTTCTTTGGCTCAACAGGGATAAGATGCTAATAAACCCTCTTTATTGATAAAAATGCAGTTTAGGGTTTTTTAGGTGGCGTTGAATCTAAATTTCCCTCCATGTAACAGCTATATTAAAATATATAGCCTTCTACTCAACACAAATAAAATATTTAAAAACCTAAATAATTCAGTAGTTTTCAGTTTGAAAGTTTTCATTAATCCCTTTAGCTAAATGAAGGAAACAGCTTCTGTGAAAGCTTTGTTAGCTGGTCTTAATTATTACTCCTTTTTGGGGGGGGGGGGGGGAATGGCAAAAATTAGTTTAAATGCTTCTGAGCTGGTTTTATTGTTCTTGTTCAGTACTAAAGCAGAACAAGACAAAAGACAAAAAGAGGAAAGAGCAGCAAATCTACCAAATGCAAATTTCTGTCCCCCGACACCAATTCTCACTTGCAAGTTTCTCTCCCGTAAACAGACTAGCAAAGTGTGCAGCATCACCACACTTTTTCAGACCCATTCCACTATTCACTCAACTGGAAGTAGCCTTTCTAATCACAATTCACAGTAACGGCACTCTTGTGACAACTCATAGGCAAACTAGATTCTTACCAGGTAAGCTGCAAAAAGGAAAAGGGAAACAGGGAAGGTGATAGAGAGGAAAAAGTAAGGTAGAAGGAAAATCGTGAATGAAGGGAAGAGAAATAGCAGAAACAAGAGTGTCATCTTCCCGGCTTCACAAGCAGTCTCTGATCCTTACACTGGGAGCCACTGCAAACCAGCAGGCTGCATCACATTCGAAGAACAGCTATTACCTCAGCTGGCCGGTTTTCTCGGGTTTGTATTTCAAACACAGTAACCCTAAATGAAATCAAAAGCTCACATCTGAACTGTTTTCAGAAGTCAGACAAAGCAGCTGTCAGTAACTAATGAATTCTCTTGGTTGCCCCTTTCTTGCCTGGTTTGGTGATGACGGCAAAGATCACACAGCAGCACACAGCGTAGGGCTGCGAGGAGCACAAGAGACATATGGTGAAGTTCATTTCCTTCAGTCCCATTGATCCCCTCACTAATCAACATCCAAGAGATGCTAGCCATGGAGCCAGCTACCAGAGAGACGGGGGTCCCAGAGTCAGCTACTGGGAAGACCATGTGTCTGGACCAGCTACTGGGGAAACCCGCATCTGCGTAACAGGAATAGGTGCAAGCACCAGCAACTGCAGTATGGCTGTGAACCCTGGGGGCTCACATGTCAGGGTGTCAGCAGCTGGGGAGAGCAGGGAGATCTGGGGCCAGCTACAGGATTGACTGTCTGAGCCCAATTACTGGAGCAATTAATATTTTGATACTATATATATATATAAAAATATATGTGTGTATGTACTTATATGTATTCCACCAGTGGACTCTGATCATGATCAGGCAGAGAGGAGGAACAGAATCAGAGCGTCTGGGCTGTCCACTTTGTGGCAGTGCTACATATTTGTGTGTGCTGGTAAAGTACTGCTTTCTGCCCATGCTGATTTGTTGATATTCCTACCAGGAATACAGAGTCTACCTCTCTACTGGCTGAACTTGGAGATGTGGAGCCACAGCAGCCTTGCATTTATAACGCTACTGGATTCAACAGCCTATATAGCAAGGACAACTATGTAGTTGTTTGGTTTTAACCATTGTTTCTTCTTATTCTACCATAGGGTTAAGAACATTTTCTGTCCATTCACATATGCCTTCTGTTTTCAGTAGAACAAACAGAAGGATCCCAACAGCCTGAGAAAGGTTTCTTCTGTCTTCTAACTACAGACACCCATTTATTTCAAAATCATATTTGAGGCTCGTAAGCCTCAAATGCTGAAGCATCATCATACAGACATATCGTCACTGAAAAGCTATCTAGATTCCTCTCTTTTTCTTGACATTAAAAAACAAAAAAGGAAGAGATCTTCAGATATCATGGTAATAATGTGTTTGGATACCAGTATGTTGTTACAAATTTTTTTAATAAAACTCTGTCATGACCAAGGAAGCTAAAAAGATTGTCTCTGATACAGATACAACAAATATTGCAGGCTGACAGATGCCTCTTGATCAGAAAGTACTTAAAAATGGAATTCCTTCATTCAAACCCCAGATATGCTACTCTTCACCTTGATGATTTATTTTCTAGACTAGCTTTCCTGATAAGATAGGACAACCAAAAACAACAAACTGGAAAAAAACAGGACTAGCATGCTCTTTCCTCCGAGGATCTGTTATTGAACTTACCAAAGCCTTAACTCCAGCCTGATGACTTTCAGTGGTCTCTTCCCTTCATATTCCCACAGAACCCATAATTATTGTACTAGGGATATTATAGGGTCTACCCTTGCCTAGTCTTTGTAATACCTATTCAGGAATCTGTTATCCATTAATTTGTATACAGCCTTTATGAATCTGATTAAGTTGTCTAACTCCACAGCTTTGTGACAGAAGATTTTAAAAGTTCACACTGACTGTCTTAAGAAGTATTGTCTGCCATTTGTTGACAATTGTTCTACTTATTTCATTGAATGTTCCTAGTTTGAATATTATGGGATTTGATGATGCATTCACCTTGTCCACTACCATCATGATTTTATAAAAATCAGTCATACATACACACACATTCCCTACTGTTCTCCTCTTCAAACTAAGGAGACCCAGCCTTTTTAGCTTTTCTTGGCCAAGTAGCTGCTTAATCCCTTTAGTACAGAGAAGAGCCACTAAAATGACATTTTCCAGATCTACTGTGTCCTTCCCAAGTTGTGGAGACAAGAACTATGTAGCATATTCAAAATACAGCATGTCAAGGTTTTAGACAGCAGTGAAATGGCACACACTGGCTTCTTCTCTACACCCTTCCTGATGATACCCAATATTTTGTTGGCACTTTTGGCTGCTGCTGCACATTGTACTCATGAATTCAGGGAAATGTCAGCAGTAATGTCAAGATATATTTCCTGTGTTGTAACTGCCAGTTCTGAGTTCAGTGTCATGCACAGATGCTTAGATAATTTTTCCGCAAATACATTCCTTTAAATTTATCCACATTGAAGCTCATCTGCCATGTCTATGCCCAGTTCTGTAAGGTCCTTCTGGATCTCCCCTCCGTGGCATGGTGTTTGACAACCTGGAAGAGCTTAGTACCACCTGCAAACCTGGAGATTTCCCCACTCCCTTCCTTCTCCACATCATTGATAAAGATACTGACTAAAACTGGTCCTGACCTTGAGCACTGAAAGACCCTACTACTGATTCTTCCATTCTGAAAAGCCACCATTAAACATCTAATCTTTGCATTTAACCAGTTTTCCTCCAAACCCATGGCAACTTCATTTCTTTAACAATCTGATATGGAACCTCAGCAAAATTTTTTGAACATCCACCAAAGCCCCAATATCCATGCACCCACTGACAACCTTCTAAGACAGCAACAGGTTAGTGAGGCAGGATTTCTATTCATAGAAGCCACATTGGCTCTTTCCTGACAAATTACTGAGTGTATTATTATTGAAGGACACTGATTTTCATAGAACCCAGAGGTTTTCTTGCTAATACTGATGTAAGACTTATTGCATCACCTGAAAATCTTATGTTTTGAATAAAAAATTAGTTTCTCGCTTCAAAGACACAAAAAGAAATAGTAATAGAAAGGGAAAACCAATCCTTTTTTAGACTGGTAAAATACACTGCCACCTCCAGGTGCTTATTTAGGCTTTGCTGTGATCTAGTCTCTCATTTAGAGGTGTTACTTCTCAAATCAATCAAGCTAGGCTTCTTCAGAGGAAAATTTTGTTTTTAAAGAACTGGATACACTTAATTGTGATCGATAGGATAAGTACAGCAAGCCAAGAATCAGCAAGGCTAGGCTGGGTACAACTTACAGCAAGAGAGAATGTGTCTGTGAAAGTCTTGTAATATGCTTCAGGCAGTCTTTGGTTGGCTCTTCAAGGTCACCTTTTCTTTCTTCAGGTTCAGGTTTAATGAACTCCAAATTAGTTTCTGGAAAGTCAATCTTTTTTTAAAAAAAAAAAAAAAAAAAAAGAGAACTCCTTTTAGCAATATGTATTCTCAGAAACAACTATCAATAAATGCTATCTTGGATTTCTACAGGAAGGACAGAAAATATGAGAGAAAGAAGAAGGGATAATTCTTTGAGAGTGTTCACCATATGCAATATATTACTTAAATATGTTGGTGATAAACAGCCCACGAAAATCAGTGGGAGCTTTGTCACTGACTTTCCTGGGAGAATTTCATCCACCATATTTCAATTATATTATAACTGCATGAACTCAAAGCTGTTTTCCTCCTTTCCTGGTTTTTAATGAGATGGTTCTTAAGTGGAACACTTCCATCAATGTAGATTTTTTTGGTTTGGGTTTTTTTTCTGAAAAAGTAGGGATAATTCTGATGTGTAGGTTTGCCAATGCGAGAGATGGAAATCAAATTCTTGATTTCACTTCTGGATGTTCAATTTCACATATATTGCAGAGCATCTACCAATTTTTCATTCTTTACACATACATATGGGCATCAGAAATTTAGGATAATGTTTTTAAGATAGAGGGAAAGAAAACATTCAACCAAAATTAGGAAGATTAAGGTGCTTGATAATTGGAGCACAGACTTAGCTGAAAATTCAGGTTGCTCTTCAAAATTCAGCTCAGTTTGCATATCCCATTTTGGTTTATTAATGCACACACTACAATATCTTATCTATATCTACTTTTTTTTTAATATATGTATTTGATATGCATCACTCTTCTAAAGATTATCAAAGTTATTCCCTACAAAACATAAGTGTCTTGTTGGTCACGTCAGAAAAGCTATCTTTATGACATTTCTGGCATGTTCACAAATTGTGATACTGTCACATGCATGGGAATAACTGAAAATGAGGTGGGGGAATGAGAGATCTTCCTGTTCCATTTCCTTCAGCAGAGAGATATTATAAATTAATACCCATTAACTGTCTCAACTTCCTTTTATTATTAATAGAGGAAGCTATGTTAAGGCATCATCTTTGACTGAACTCCTCAGACTAGAAAATCCCCATTTGCTTTTCTATTAAAACCAGGGCATTTTTAGGCCAGCCTCATTTATCTGTATTATCTGCTTTTACATGTCATTCAGCTTTTTAATACAGAAAACAATTGGCTTTGCCCTTGAAGTATCCAGTTGCTAATTTAACCTGGAAAGGTAACAAAACTACCATGCAGACCTAATGCATTTTCAATACTGGGAGCACCATTCTGCCCAGAAGGAGTGGGTGCTCAGCATGTAGTCATCGAGGGAGAGCTACACTGATGCCTATTGACAATTTTCTTGTAGCACTTCCTTTGCAAATCCTTTATGCTACTCAGTCTAATTGCAAGCTGTATGTTATGTTTATAATGGCATGTAATTCAATAGTACTCAGAACAAAAGTTCAGATTTGAAAAGGCAGCTGTAAGTCAGGTACCAAGTCATTAATTTGTGTCAAAAGTATTTTTGGAGCCAAAATTGTAACAAAAATTACCCTACAAAAACCTGCTCTAGCCCTCAGAGGTAGTTTTTGATATGAAAGTATCAAACACATTTGCCACTGTGCAGAATTATACACTTCCATCCATTCAGATTAACATACTCTCTTTGAGCAGCTCTAATGGAAATAGGATTTTTAATTTCTGTGGTCTTGATGAGCTGTGGGAACAATCCTTCTTGTACTTTGTTAGAAAACAACCCTTTCCTTTGGTTTCTTACTTTCTTACCTGCAATGTTACTGAGGTTGGTGTATCAGTACTGCAGATGCCTGGGGTAATCATTGTTGTTGTAAGCGTGCTGTGCAACGTCATGCTAAGCAGCACAGTTCCGTGAACGAGCCTCCTGCAGTACACACAGACAGAAATACTGCATCAGTACTGGAGACAACATGAACAGGTTTTACTGAAATTACATCAAAGAACATGGAACTGGATAGCTTAAAAGACAAGCAAAAGGAGAACAACCCCCTTATCTTCATGTGGCTAATACAAACCTGGCCTAGATCAGCAGAGGCTGCACACTCATGGCCTCATTGCCCTAGCGGTATCTGTGAAGTTGCAGGGATCATGACACAAATCACACTGCCAAGACATTCTACCTCAGCTCTGAGCTTTACCACTGACTTCTTGTGTGACAGGGTTTATAATTTAAGCTAGGTGTAAAATAAGGACAACAGCATATTTCTATCTCAACATTTAATTTTGAGGACAAATATGTTAGAGATTGTGCAGGCTGCATGTATTCCACGAAACTCATGGCAACCTGCCACAACCATGAAGGATCCTTGCTGATTTTATGAGAGAAGGGCAGGGAGGAGAGAGTATGCTATCAGAGTCTCCAAAGAGCTGAAAGGAGTTTGAGTGGGATAGTTTGTATCGCGTGCGCTGCATGTGGGTTTTGGACAGATGAAAGATTATGGACTGAAGTACCAGTCTGAGCACTACACGTACAAGAAAGTCTTATCGGAAACAGGCATGCATGCGGTCTGCAGATAAGAAAACCAGCATGATTTGGCAGGTCAACACAATTCAGTCTAGAGAATTTGAATAAAACCAGGAAGTTCAGATGTAAATATTAATAATAACCAATCCACTCAAAGTAAGAATGCAGTACCTGAATAAAGGAAGACACGGAACACTGGACTTACCCTTTTAATTGTCCACATCGTAAAGGTTAGTGAGGTCAGAAATTTGATTACGTTCAACATCTCTTCTTTTACTGACAAATAATTTTTATTACAATCATTCCAAGAACTGCTCAGTCAAAACAACTGAGAGAATGGGCTAGATTCTCTTCTGTGCATTGCAACAGAAACAGCCAACCAGGCAGACGAGTTGTGAGTGCACAGCTTTTACCGGAGATGAGGATGTTACAGGTACAAGAGAACTCAGACGGACCTTTTGATCCCAGCATGAGTTTGCAACATTGCTGTAAGAAAGTACCTTTTGAATTGCAAACTGAAATAAATTGTTGCTAAGTCATCTGAAGAAGAAATAAGAAACTCCTGCAAAGTAATTTTTATAGTCAACACTTGGTATAAACCTAATTCAGGGCTAATTTTCTTTTTCGCTTCTCAAGCTATTCATGTTGTTTGTGCAAACATTTTATTTTATTGTGAGAACACAGACCAGGAGGGTTAAAGAAAAAACCACTATCTGAAGTTTCTTTTGCAGCTGTAGTCACATTTGCAGGGGAATGGAGGCAGAAGAAGAAGCTGTGATGTGAACAAGACAGCACTCAGGGGAAAGCAGTTGTGTGATAGGAAGTCTTTCACATTTAGGTCACCGATGTGAACGTGTAAGTGACCAATAGTGGTTCAAAGTTGTTTTTCTGTGATGTGTACTCAGATGACCTTTAATAAATGAGTTGCATCTCTTCAACCACTCCTTTACTGACAGGGGTTTACATCATAATTTGAACTAATAGGCAGTTTTGTTAGAAGGGAGAAGAGTAGCTGAGAACTGAATGAACACAAAGATTAAATTATCCTTCTGAGCTCTCATTACTGCTAACCACTTTCATATTGTGTTCTAAAACTACAGAGGGCTTTAAAAAAGAATCCATACAGTGGACTTCTTTCCTGGGAAACCTGTATAGACAAATAGAAGTAGCACAGACCTCAGAGGCACTGTAGATATGTTTAATTGATTATTTCAACTCATTTGGACTCAGTACAGATGCAGCTAAAGACTGTCCAGGAAGATGAGGAAGAATTGGCAGTTGGGCTTCTCAGAGTAGTCAACTGGAGAAACAGCAAGTAAAGCAATATAGCTTTGCTGGACATGACCATCTGCTGTCATGTTAAAGCAGATGACAAGACTGTGAGTAAAACCAAAGACATTAAGCCACTTCAATAGTATGGCAAGGATATCTCCTAAGAAAATATGAAGTTGTTTTAAAAACCAGACACATATTTATGTCTTGTGTAAAAAGTAGCCTATTTTATACATTTACAAGTAAGTGACAACTTACCTATCTTCCATCAGTAAGCCACTCTTTGGACTAAGGCTAGTGTGGAAACACAGGAGGCATTTTTAAAAAGATGTGAAGAGGCATCGACAACTGTGAAATACAGCGTATGTTTTTTTAGCACATCTTTCCTTCTCCATCTTTAGGGCACTGTATGCACTGCACAGCTAGCATTGTTCAGAACCAAGTCTGCTTTGGCACACACACATGGAACCAGGGGCCATGCAGGTGAATGAAACAGTAAAAAGGTGCATCATTATTTTCAGAAAAAGGAAAGGAAGCAGGAGAGTGTGCAGGATCCCTTCAGAAAAGGAAGGAGATAGCATCATGAGCATGACAACCATAACCTTTACTGAACGGACAGATTCCTCTCTCTGCTACCTGGTTCTGTTGATGAGCTCAGGCCAGTCTCTCCCTGTTCTGCCTGCCAGTTTTCCCATCTGTAAGGTGATGGCAGTGACTTTTGTAAAGACTGTATAATGATCGCAACCATAGACAATGGCTTCCATGTAGCAACTTCAGCATCAAGCACATCAGAAGGTGAAGAAGCGCATGCTGCTCTGTGTCTACTGCCATTTATTTATATGCTCATGCAAAACCAGGGCAGATGGAAACCCCTGGAATTACACATATTCCCAGCTCTTGTTTATTACTGGAGCTAAACTAAACTGCCTGTCTTACTTCAGTAGAAGGGGATGCTGCTATTTAAGGACAGTTCAAGTTACCCTAACTTAACAAAATCAACCTTGTGTCCTGAAGGCACGTGGAAGACTTCCCTCACCACATCCAGCAAAAGGAAATTTTTTTTTGCTCGCTCTGTCTGATTTGGAAACACCAGTTCAAAATAAATTGTGTTGTTAGAATCAGTGAAGTCAGAGCAATGGGCACTGTGGGGGACATTACAACTCCCAAATTGCCCCAAATGATGGATTTCTGATTTGTTAATTAGCTCTGGATCACTAAACTATTCAGCCCAAGAGACAAACACATTTTTCTGATGTGAAGGAATGGAAAGTTGGCACACAGACTTGCAAACACTTTTTGAACTGCCTCATGCGTCTAATAAGACTTCTTGACACAGATGCACCATCAAGGGCTTTATTTGCTTCGATTTAGGGCCACTATCTAAAGTCAACTACCTGATAAGGATGAGAAATATGGATGTGGAGGCTCACCTACACCTACTGGACAAGTTGGCAGCTACAATCATTATTACTGTGTTCATTCCCAAATGTATATAACATTAGAGTAGAGTTACTGTTTAGACTGGATATACCAGGAAAACGAGGACAAAATATAGTGTAAAAATAATGTAATTATCCCCAAGCCTGACATTATAAGCCTCAGAAATTCAGAGTTGAGGTTGAAGTTAAAGGAAATCCAAAGCTGTTAATCTATAAACCCCCCACATCTTATGGCCCGAGCAGTCTTATTTCTGCATTGGAATAATACTGTGAAATAACTACTTTATTATAATTACAAATACTACAGAATTCTAGAAAATCCAAATTAGAGATATAATTTTCAAGTGCAAAGTAATGCTACATGTCCTACAGACTTTTATAAGGACCACATCTTCCATTCCCACAGTTTCTAGTTTAAATAACTTCCATAAATTCAAAGGTGCCGAATACAGCAAATACAAACCTATCAGATTATTCTAGACCTTTAAAACAAATTTTCAGTTATGTTCCCGATTCTTTCCTAATTTTGCTGCAAAACATAAAGTTAAAAAATAAGTTGCATGCAATAACTGTAAGGTAAACAACCACATTTAGGCAAAGACTGGAGAATATTTGCAGGAAATCAGTTTTGTAAAGAGTGAGACTCTTTGTACATGCAAAATTGATAAGAAGTAATCCCAACACACATTTGATAAAGAGTATAGTAGCTGCCCTGTGTATCCATCAGCTAGTCATGTTATACATCAGCACACTGCAAGACAACCGTCAGAATAGTGAGAGATATTAGTAGAATTCAGGAACTAATGTAAATCAAGCAAATTTCAAATTTACTAAACATTTGTTCACCGACAACTGTTTAACAACAACAATAAAACAAAATTAAAAAGGCCAAATTCTTGAGAACATTTTCAAATATTGTACGGTTTCAACAGGGGCAAGGTATGGAGAAAAGACTGCAGTAAGAAATGCTAATTAATAAGTAATATGCTTTATTTAATCAGTTGGGGTTTGCTTCTACTTTTTGTATATTTCTCATACACTCTGCTTAGTCACTGTTTTTTCAGATGAGAACCGGAGTGTTAAAATCTCAGAAAAATCTTAAACAGAATTCCTGTGGTTTTAATGAGAATAAGATATAATGGGACAGAAATGAGGAACTGTATTTTTAAACTGACGTTAATTTTCTTCTTCTAATGATTAACAAGTATATATATATATTTATATTTTAAGAAGCATCTGAATACAGAAAGATAGGCCACTCTGTCCTTATCTTCGCTGACCCAGAGAAGAATGGCTCAGTGACCAACTGGGACAAGGATTTGAACATGGATGTTTGATGACCCAGGCAAATACCTCAGGGCTACTGGCTTCTTCAAAGAGCTTATTTCTATCCTTTCCCCTTTAAATTAGATCTTAGACATGAGAATGTTAAGACTTTTTTTAAAACTCAAATTCACCTCTGAGAAAAGCTTTCTTTCAGGGGATATTTTCCAAGTTAGGAATGCTTTGTCAAAGATTTTCTGGTCAGATTTCTTTAATATCTTTATATATATTTACAGAGTTTATCCATTTAGAGACCCTAATAGCATAATCTTTGCAATAATACAAGGTACTCTTGACACATTAGCATGACACTACAGGTACAAATCTTTTCCTGGTACATACTTTCAAGTTCAGAAATACTCTATTAAAATAAGTCTTGAAGTTTAGTTGCATTCCAGCAGCAAGGGGAGTGAAGTTGGGTTCATTGCTCAGGTTATTAACATTTTCCACAAAATTGGTGAGTCAAATAAAACAATTATTAACTTTTAAATTTTTTGTGGAGCAGGAAATGGCCTCTCAAAGTCCTACTGTTGCTTCTCAATTACTTCAACTAATTGATAGTGTTACCTATTAAGAATCACCTGACAGTTTTAAACCTGCTACTTTCTAAGTTGGTAACCCTGAGAGCTAGTTTTCTCTACCAAAAAATATTCATGATCTTCCAAAGAAAAGGAAAAGCAGGCAGGGTGAATGTTCAGATAGTTTCACATTTCAGAACAAATTTCAGGGCTATCCTTATTTTTAAACCAATCTATCAATTGAAATAATGGTGAACGAATAATTCTGTGGAGTTGTGGTTGGCTAAAAGAGGAAAAATCATTTTGGTTTCTTTGTGTTAGTAATTATTACAATTGTAAATGACACAGCTATCAGATTAGGGGGTGTTGAACATGCTATTCCCAAATCATTCCTCCCCAACAACTCAAGTTTTGTTTTGCTTTGAAGGGTCATTTCAGCAATGATCTCTACAATTATACAGCAGATGAAAGGAAAGTAGCCCTCTCTCCCCGTCATTGTGCTGATTGTGTGTACCATGAAAGAATGAAGTCATTTTTCAGCAAAATTTTTGAAACTGTCTGGCCGACTTCGAGATCTACCTAATGAAAATCAACGTGCTTGCTCCAATGGTATACATTAAAAAATACACATCACGGGGAGCTGAGGGCTTTCAGATCTTCCAAAAATCATTCCTTTGGGACTTCAATGCTGAACAATAAGAAAACCTCTAGTACAACACAACTCCTCAAGAATAGGATTCTCACATATCCCATTTGCCTCCAATAGTGCCTAAATGTTCCCCAATCGAGTTATCATACCTAATGCTCTGCTACTGAACGTACTCAGCCCATATCAGCTTGCTGGAGTGAGGACATCCTAACATTTCATCTCAAGTTAGATTCTCAGCTAAGATATCTCATCTACCTATTTCACCCTAAGCACTAGGATAGTAGAAATAGACAAAATAAACATAATGCATGTTTTGCTTAAAAAGACACACGCAATGGAAGAGTGAGTGATGTGCTCTTCTTCAGAGTAACTATGACAGAAAAGTCATTGAATAAAATGGCCAACCAATTCTTGGAGTAGAGATTTGATTCATGTTTCTTTCCTTCTTTCAAGCTAAGCACTCTGATCACTAAGTCACAGAAGAATGCTCTCTTCTTCTGAACAGAATAATCTTGAATTTTCTTCTACAAAGATGGAAAAAGCTTCTAGCCCAGTCCAACCTATTTTCTAGTGTCTTAAGCCTCTCAGTTTGAAAGTTCAATGGAACCCAAGGTCTTTCAAACACAGTAAATTTATATATGCAATCAGATTTTTTGGTTTTGTTTTGTCAAAATGGTGATTGACACCATGTGGAGAAGTAGATGAAGAAGTCTCAAGACGAGGGAAGAGCTACAGCTTAGAGATGGATGTAATGCAGAAACTTGTGGGGCTTGAACGTATCCATCTATTGCCCAGAGGGCATGCAGAACTATGGAGTCTAAACAAAAATTAAGTATTATTGTAAAAGCTCGATCTAAATTCAGATGCCTCAGTGCTACCAAAATATGTTTAGAGCAATGCAGAAAATTTACCTTAGATGTCCGTTTATACATCACTGCAGAGACATTCAGGGTTACAAGCATCTTTAAACCACTGTTACACTGTGTTGTGTAGAAAGAAGAGGTTAAAAAAGAGGAGAAAGCTTATAGAGTGGTGTGTAGAGGGAAAGGTGCTCATTGTGGTCATCACTAACTGCCCCACTCTGAGCAGAATGAATGGGTGAGAGAACAGAATGAAGACTGAAAAAAACCAACCATTGTGAACAAGGAGCTACGCTGAGGAGGATGTTGCAAAATCACAGGAAAGGGTGCAGCAAGGCCTTTCAAAAGGGGTATGAAACTTTAAGTGTTAAACAGTTACCTAAGCAAAGTTCAAAAACAAAGTATTGGAAAGAAAGAAAAGCTTATGGATGGAGCTCTTACTGACACATCAAGAGCAGTTTACTGTAAGTGACTGTCTCAGTCTTATTACAGCAAGGTCCTGAAATGAGTATTTCTGTCTTTTATATTTCTCCCAAGTTGAGTGCAATATTATTCAAGAATGGTCTTTTTTTAAGCTGTCATACAAAAATGAACTTACTCTTTTGGATACAATGGGGAGCATGTCCAAGCAAGCACTTCTGTATTTTTAGAGGCACTGTTTACTCCCATTCTAACAGAAAATCAGAAAAGAGAAAAATAAAAGTTAAAAAAAAAAATTTGAGCATTGTTACCACAAGTGAATTCTTCCTACATTTTTCTAGATGCCTTAACACATATATCAAGTGACAAATTACAAGAGTTGCACTCTGAAGGAAAATGCAACTGACAGATCCCTTCAAGACATTGATGAGTATTGCCCAGAATTAACGTGGGTCATAGTACTTGAGAAAAAGTACATAAAAACTCATTCACTTCAGTGGTAACCACTAGAGCTGACAAAGACAGGAAAAGCTTAGTTGAAGTTCTGCTTTAGAATTACAATATCAATGAAGGGCTGTTTCAGAATAAGCATCCCCTAAGGGTGAATTGTAAACCAATAGTTAGTTATTTGCTGTCTTGTGTCTTCAGAGGAAAACAGTACTTAAGAAGCTAAGAGATGCTTGTGAGAAGAGTATGATAATCATTCTTTTGTTCAGATGTGCTTTGGTGGTGTGGTGCTTCCCAACCACAATTTAAATGTAGATTTTGTCTTAACAGCAATGAGTGATTCACATTATTTAGTGAGAAAATTCAGATCTATCAATTTTCATCTCAACTTTGCGTTGACCATTAGCAAACTTGGTTGGTCATTCAATTTGTTTATATACATTATATGAATTGATTTAAAATTGTAACTTCAAACAATTCCAATAAATAAGATACTTTCATGCTATTTGGAAAAATCATGCAACTACCCAGACATGTGCAAGTCTATATTTTCTTTTTCCTGAAGAAAATGTTTACAGTGGATGGTGCATTTCTAGCTTTTTCCATGTATATTCAGTGCAAACTTAAATTTTTCAAGTGGAAAGTGAAATTAATTACATTTCTCTTTATAAACAAAATCAATATAAGGAGGTAAAGGCTAAAAGAATTATTCCGCATTGACAACATAAGCATTAAGAAATCAAAAGATCTGAATAACCTTGAGATTATGAAAACAAACTAGAAAATACATTTAAATATTATAGATTCCATTTAATTTTCAGATATTCAGTCTAGACTGGCAAAGTAATGGAACTCTCAGCATTTTTAAAAAGGTATAGTCATACTTAAGCAGTAAGCAAATGTAGAAATTGGTATTTTAAAAGTATAGTAGCCTGAAAAACATAAAGATTATAGGTAGCAGAAATAAGACAAGGTAATAATATAAGGTAAATTTAGCATAAGATTTTACTCCTAGTTCCAAATCTGCCAAAATTCTATTGGCTTTGGGAAAGTTTCCTTGAATGCACTGAGGAACCACTGAAAGAAAGTCGATGGTTTTCAGCCAAAATTCTGAAATACTCCAAATTAGCATTAGTGTCAAAATTTCAGGTAATCAGTCCTAAACATTTGGAAATTATTCAAATTTGCATACCTCCCTCTGAATAACAAAGCAAGACAGCAATTTCCC